TATAGTATTCGTTCCAGCATTGCAAGATTTTGCTACTTTGCGCCAAATTTGCTACCCTTTTTTAGTTTGACGTAAAATTTATCATTTGGCGCATTGACTACTTTCTGGGCTACATATTATTTATAAATATATTAGTCGAANATTATTATTTAAAATTAAAATGTAAAGATTTGTTGATATTTTTAATTTATTTGATAACCATTTTTCTGTAAATAATAAACACATTTTGACTATATCCAAAGAATTGTTTTTCATCCGACGTATGAACAAACGGCCTATGCTTGGCCGACGTTTACCATAGATCTAACGATCTGTGTTTCCCAAACTGGAGTACCGCGGACTCCTGGGATCTTAGATTAGTTTCAAAGGATTGCCCTAGTGTTCACAATGTTGGTTTATTTTATAAGTTTTTTTAAATCACTATTTGTGTTATATCAAAATATAATATAAACATTTTGAATTACTTTAGAAAACTACTTTACGTGCTTAGTTATAGACATACAGTCACATTCATATACTCTTTATATGTATAGTGGTATGCAAACGCACTTGATTTTAATGGAATCAATGGAATTCGATGGTTTGGAATCCCGAGCGCAGCCATAGAAGCTGTGTATTTAACTTTTATGTAGCACAATCCATAATATTATAATTTTTTCAAACGTATATATTATCAGTATTCTAATTAAAAGAAAACCCTCATAACTCAGACAGGTAATTTTGTGCATAGATTATACAGTAGAAAACTCTTACAGCTTAGCAATAACTGTACCATGGTATTAGTTGTAATTTAAATACGAAATTTTCCATTATTAATACAGTAAAGCCTATTTAAGAACAATAACCACTGGAAGCTTCTGCTTTGGCAACTTTTGTTATTTACTAAATTAACTAAACTAGACTGTGGGCGTAACAGAATTATTGTATCGCCATAGCTACTTTCCAGAGACGAAAGTGTGTACCGTGTTAGCAAAGAAAATATTACGGTGGTCTGTAATTGCGTTCACTACGAAATCTCCCTTACTTCGAGATCGTAAATTGCACTTAATTATTCAGAATAAAGCTATTTTTGCATCGAGTTACGCGTCATTAATCGACGGTGTGCCGATTGCATCGAATTCCGGAACTTATTACTAATTGCTAGGGCAAATAGATACAAAATATGGGAAGTAAATGGTTAATGAAACAAATATTAATACCCTTTTTTGCGTAATCTAAATGGCATTAGTGTGAAGATGACTGATAACTGTAGAAAACTGAAGCATTTCTCTAAGTGTAATTTTGCTTTCCATTCTAAAACTCTAACACTATTTTGTAATAGAATTAACATTTCCGGTCAGTGTTTATGACAAGGCGTCGCAGTATTAGACTCTATTGGAATTGTTCACTGGTAGAATGACGTCGTGTGAATTTAAATTGAGTGGCATTTTGTGTGAACCTTTACCTGTTTGAGAAGTGATTGAAATAAACGTGCTAAATCGATTAACCTTTATCAACGAGACGTGAAGAATTATAATTCACATAATACTTTACATACCTTCTTAAATATCGACCACTCTACTTTCTTCGTTTCAAACATGGACACACCACAGATGGAAACTTGCGAAGAAAATGCCAAAAAATGTCCATGCAGTTTGTAGTTTTCTGCAAACAGTATAAAGATTAATTAAAAGAATTTCAAATATAAAATTTTACAATTATTTCNAAAGTAAACAAGCCATCCACTGACAAAGTGGATGGCTTGTTTATTTTTACTAGCCCGAAGGGTCGGGATCCTTTTTGTCAGGTCGAGTGGAGGAGGAGAGAGGGGTCGTCAGTAAGGCGTAGGCAATAAACGAGTAAAGGACAACATTAACAAGAAAATCAAAAATTTATTGAATAACAAAAAAAGACTTTTACAACTACGACAATAGATATAACTTCGAGCTCTTCTAACTTTCGAGTACAGTACAAGTTTAAGGGGCAAAGAGAGAGTTTACACTTGATATCATACCTCTTGATTGTTCTCATGGAGGTTCGTTCAGTCCTTGATGTCGACGGTGCACAATTTTATAAAAGTCGCGACTCAGATTCGTAGACCGCACTTAAAGATAGCTCGACAGTATCGCTCCTCAATATAGTCCTGCTTGTGAGAGACTCCCCTGAGGGGGATGATGTGGGCTTATATTGATTTGGCCTGGGAAAAACGTCATGTGATGGAGTGTTATTAGAGATAGAGGTTACTTTAGCAGGTGTGGAGGTAGAAATGTGTTCCCGGGACCATATTAAAGTAAAGAAATCGGACGTTATCGTAAACTTTAAGTCTTGCAGTATGAGAAAGACATTGGTTAGATGGTTGAATGTTTACATTAAAGAGGAGAGTTATAACTTTCTATCGTTGTTGATGAGATATTTGATTCTTTTGTTTCTGACGATGTTATTTTAACGGTGAGGTGATGAATTTATTTAAAATATGTCGAAAGTTTAGGAGAAAAAAGGAAAAATTGGTTTACACACGGGTCGGATCTCACACTAGTCTTGGATACATGTTCTATCAAACGTAAACTGCCATTTTAGTGTCATAGACTTGGTATTTTTTAGAACAAAAAATAATTCAAAATTTTTGTTTCGTTTATTAGTTTATTAGGCAAATTATTAGTTAGTTTGTCACGCAGGTTACAGCACCTTTTTTTACACCGAAAAAAACGAAACAAAAATTTTAAATTATTTTTTGTTCTAAAAAAACCAAGTCTATGACACTAAAATGGCAGTTTACGTTTAATAGAACATGCATCCAAGACTAGTATTCAAAAACAGTCTGGGAAAAATCCTTGATTTCTGACCATGACATTGAAAAATGTGAACGAGGAAGTCCATTTTCCAAAAAAATAGAAAATGTCCAGTAACTCAAAAACTATGATACTTTTACTAAACACAATGTTTAATTTTCTGAACAGTCATGATGTCACCTATCCGCAGCTAATAGATTATACACTCTTTACGCCACACCCTGTATATAGTTATAGTTTCAAATTCAAATACCTCTAGAAATCAAGATTCACCTATATTTTTCCTCATTAATGTTTCAATTTTACAAGTGTTCAACTACGGTAACTTTTTAAAGTAATTTTAATTAAATTTAAACAAAAAAACTTGAAGGAAAGTATCTAAGGAAAGTGTGGGGATCACGATTTTGAAATTTTCTTCGAGATATGACATTACCCCCTTTATCTCTCCATCCCGTCGACCTTTAACTACCAAAATTTAACAACGTTTATCCCTGTAATGCACAAACCTCCCTGCAAAATTTCAGAAATTTTCGACAAAAAGCATAGGAGTTACTAAGCTTCAAAGAGGGTAAACAGACTTCTTTTTTACCCTTTTCACTCGGTTTTCACGATTTTTTCTTAGACAATCGTCATTGTAAAATGGAGTCTAAATATNAGAAACAAAGTTTGAATATGACGGATATTAGGTCTATATTGATTATAATTGCTACCGATAAAATCATTTATACGTAATTTTATAATATTGAATAAACTATAAAAATTTGGAAAAATGGTAAATTCCCAATAGCTTTCCTTTTTTATCAGTTTTGATTTTTTAAATAAAACAAACTTACGATTTATTTCCTTTTGTATGTAGGTATATTTTGTGCGGTCCCGAACAGGTCCGAACCATCACGAAAATCGCGAAAAATCGGTTAATTTAGAGAAAAATTTAATTGTTTAAAAGGCAAGAAAAAAATGGTTGTAGTCCAACACCTTTTGTTAATATCAAACTGCGACGCAGAAATCATAAATGGAGAAGGAATGTCGTCCCATGATCGCTGAGAGATCGAATTCAGCTTCGATTTTGTCCTCTCTCGCGCTCTAGGTAAGGAGTCTCGTTACGTTTAGTAACGAGGTACCCAGCCACTCGAGAAGTGTGATTGAGGGAGAATGACGAATCAGAATAGACGAAAGAGAGAACGGAGATTGATATAATTCCCGACGATCAAGGACACCTCGCACTCGGTTAATTAACATTCCAGTTAACCAAGACGCCGTGTGTCAACGCGCAAAACACAGTTTTCCGTCTATTGTGCCCAATACGTAAACTGTACCACTACGGACTCAGACCGTGTTACCGATGCCAATCAACGGAATCTCTCCAACTTGCCACACGGACTGAACAACGCCACTTCGATCGTCGATCGGGAAAACAACGACGCTCAGGATGTCCGCACAGCCGAATGTGTTAAAGCAAATTATTTTGTTTATAGTGTAACTTATTTTATGTCAAAATAAACGGTTTTTGTTAGACACTTATCATCTTTGCTCCGCCGTCACATACGAATAAACCCTAGACCATCTCTGGACGTGCAATTATTGCCCCTAAAAGTCGGCTTACTTACAATTTTATGTATATTTGTTTATGTATTTTTAAAAAATCTTTAATAAAAAATCTTAAACATCTACAAAATAAGAATAACAAAATTATATGAGCATATATAGGAATTATTTGATATTTTTTCTACGATACTTTTCTAAGAAAGTTTAAATGGAATTTGTTTACAGAATCACCAGTGCACTGTAATTCTCAGTTTTGTTTATTAGATAGAAATAGATGTGGACGAAGGCATCGTTATATTATCAGAGTAAAAAAGTATAATTACAGCGCGTTTTGTGTTGAGACACCTATTCTCTCTGATGCAATTTGTCCGCCATGTTACCGGAGGTTTGTGGTTATATTGTATTTAGAATGCTGACGAGTTTTGTGACTTTCGCCTGTAATAATAATTAAAGTCTGTGGTTACACATTTTACAACTAAATAAATGTTTTATATCTTATTTAATTTTTTAAAATGAAAACAAAATATATTTATAGAGTTTTAGTAGCAATTAAATGATATCAACTTTATCCCAGTAAAAACATCATTTCATCATCACTAATGATATCAATTTATATCATTTCTGAAGTGATTTTTCGTTAGTTTCAAATGACCAAATGACATGAAATGACTTCAATTGATGAAATTATTATTTACAAGACTTATTAAAATTGTNGACATCATCAGAATGTTCACTGTTTCTTAATTCGCTATCTGTGTGGATGGAATCATCGTCTTCTGATGAAGCATTTTCGTATTCAAACTCGTCTTCTTCATAAATGATTTCACTTACAAGAGAAAATCTTTCTAAATTTATAAAAGCCCATTTTAACGGTCTGTGAATGTAGATGTCGTCCACTGTTTCCGTGAATTGTTCCGGAGAATAATCAAAATCTTCATTATTATGCTCATCGAAATTCTGTAAAATAACGAAAAATAAATATTTCTAAATTTCGAATTAACTTAAAAAAATGTTAAATCCATATTCAGCAATTTTATTGCAAATTAACGTATTAAAATTTGTATTGTATGATTAATGAAAACGTGGAAACTAGAAAGTGATTCTGATTTCTGTTAGGAACAACATTCAAATACCAAAATATTTTTAATTAATTGGCGTAAAATTTATTTAGTACTAAATAAATAACTTGCATCCTATTTCAATAATACACTAAACTTATTTATTTTTCGGTGATAAACTTTAAAAGGATGTAAGAATTATTTAGTATTAATATAATCTATCAGCTTACGTTAGAAGAAAATCCTTCGTCATCGGAAAAATCAGAAATTTCATCGATTTTTCTTTCTTGTTTTCTATTCGAGGGTATTTCTGGTTCGATAATTTCAGTAATATCTGTATGTTTGGTGAAATTTTCTGCATTATCCTGATCTAAGTGGAAAGAATTAATTTTACTTGTGTCTTCGACATCAGTTGAAGAATCAGAAACTAAAATATAAAAGGAAACAGAGTAATTATTAAACTAGGTTAATTCAAATATTATATAACAAGTTTTTAATGTATATTTAGAATGTAATTTATAGCAAAAACTAGATATTTTTAAATATAAGAACACAATATTTTGTAGGCAAAGCATCAGGATCAAGTATATATTGTACTCGCTATATGCTGGATAATTAGGCTGCAACTTGAAAAAAAATTGTCGACTTATAAATTCCCACTGTTGTCTGTCACACTATGAGTCTGTCTTCTTTCAATCTCAAGAACGGAGTTATATANAAATTTTCTGCATTATCCTGATCTAAGTGAGAAGAGTTAATTTTACTTGTGTCTTCGACATCAGTTGAAGAATCAGAAACTAAAATATAAAAGAAAACAGAGTAATTATTAAACTAGGTTAATTCAAATATTATATAACAAGATTTTAATGTATATTTAGAATGTAATTTTATAGCAAAAACTAGATATTTTTAAATATAAGAACACAATAAATATTCAATGGGTTTAAAAAGAAACGTGCCAGAGAATTTTGTAGGCAAAGCATCAGGATCAAGTATATAATGTACTCGCTATATGCTGGATAATTAGGCTGCAACTTGAAAAAAAATTGTCGACTTATAAATTGTCACTGTTGTCTGTCAGACTATGAGTCTGTCTTCTTTCAATCTCAANAGAATTTTGTAGGCAAAGCATCAGGATCAAGTATATAATGTACTCGCTATATGCTGGATAATTAGGCTGCAACTTGAAAAAAAATTGTCGACTTATAAATTGTCACTGTTGTCTGTCAGACTATGAGTCTGTCTTCTTTCAATCTCAAGAACGGAGTTATATATAAGAAAGCCGACAAATAAAAACCTTAGGAGCAGCATACCCAAATAACTATATATGAACTTTCGATGCAAACCGAAAGTCACGTTATTTCCATTCAATGATTTCCACCCGAATGCAGTTAGATAGATGACTCTATTGTTAAAAAATTATTATATACAGAAGCAAGTCACTACTAATTTGAAATGGAAAGCATATTAAAAATTTATTTAATTTCAAATATAATTAAAAATTGCAGCCTGGCTTTGTGAGGATGTCACAACAAACAATTGCTGGTTTTGGTTTGCAACACTGCAGCAAACTAAATAAACAATATTCGTGTGTATTTGGTCGAATTTCAAGTAATGTAAGCCCAAATCTTCAGCCCTGTAACAGGAATGTTGTAAGAATTGAACTCTAAAACTCGCAGACAACAATAAGAGATTGCAATATTACCGGTTTCATATTGTTAATTTAGAATTATATAAATAAGAGACATAAAATCGAGATAAATTCTCTGAGTCTTACAACATGATGATTATTTGATAAAAGAAAACGAGAAAAAATTGCAGATATTGTGTTACCCTTAAATGGAAATGCGCTCTTAACGTTGGCAACTTGGCTTAAAAGTCTGCATTATAGATATTTAAACGTAAAAAATAAAAACCAAATTTCTGTCTGTAGCATCCTTTTTAATTTTCAATTTATTGTCTAATAACAATTAAATCAAAAATATTTTTATACTACCAAAATCACAATGAAATGAACAGAAAATAATGTATAATTTTAATTAATAAAACAAAAATAATTACAACATCTGATAGCCTCTGAAAAATGTGTATTGTTTCCATTTGTTTAATTATGAAAACTGAATTTAACGCTATAAATGTATTCAGCAATGTCAATAAATAATATAATGATCCACAATATCGAATTGTTGGATGATTAAGAATGCTGAAATGTCATCAAAATTTATATATTAAAAACGAATAGTTATTGTTTAATTTACATCTCTGAGTATATATGATCATTTGTATTTTAAAATACAATAAAATTATTATAATCTCTTATCGGCTATGTTAATCATTCGCTTCTTACTTATGTTTCAAATGTTATCTTTTAGTTCATTTTATTTTTATATATTTAATGCTTAGTGAAAACGTAAGATATTTTCTCCCTTATTTAAAAGACAATACCGGATTTAAAGATGGTTTAAGTAACAAACTCAAATATCTAACTGCAATCTCAATAGTAGCAATATATAAAAATATATCCAAGTTTCATAAATATTTCTATTATAATTAAATTAATATTGTAATAATATCAATTTATTACCTTTATTATGATTTAGTAAACATTCCATCGAACCTGAGAATAGAGGTGTTTCAGCTATATTTTCAAAGGTAGACTCACATACCAACACTTCAGTTGCTGGCTCAATTTCGGAAGCTACCGATGATGGCCTATACGTTGGCACTTGGGCCGACGATGCATTGTTTGGTTCGTCTATCATTTGTTTTTCTTTAGACATTTCTGATGCTGGCTNTTTTTTTTTTTTTTTTATTATAGGTGCTCTCGGACGAGCAACAATTTTCGCAAGAATAGATGATCCGGATGCGACCGAATTCCTAATCTTTTCTTCCTATTGCTTAATCTACCGAATAGTTGACTCATTTAAATTAAAATGCCTACCAATATCAGCTATCCGCTCTTGATTTTTAATTTGATCCAAAATTTATATCTTTGTTTGAAGAGATATATTAATAAATTTCCTTTCTAACGACGGTCCTTTCTTTTCATTCGACATTGTTATGGCTAAAAATTTTTCAAGCAGTTTTGTGGACAGTAAAAATCGCAAAAATTAACTTCCCTTCACTATGTTGTTAAAAATATACACCCAATAGAAGTTTATACTGTATTTTGGACCATTTTTGCGGTCCCCACCCATTGAAAGAGTATAAATTATCGAAAATATCAATGATATATTTGAGTGTTTATGGTAACTGATGCATATCTGTCTAAATACCGGTCTTCCAATGAAACTTTCATGGGAATAACACGTCAACGTAGACAAACAGCTGTTTTCGAGGACATTTAGCTCTGTACACCGAATTACGGCGCGTATTAGGCCTACGTGATCCGTTGCGATTTTTCTGTTATGTGAAAGATAATTCGTTTCTAAATAAAGTAAAAAACCGCGTTGTAAGAAAATTTCCGCATTTTTCCAACCGCGTTGGAGCGAAAACGCGATGCAGCTATCCCGTATTCTGGGATTTGAGAAGGCCCATTTTCGGCCATTTGAATAGGTGGTTCGTATCCACCCACTTCTTGCATTGGCCAGAACCCATGCAATCCAGGCACTTTAGTAGCAAGCCCATATTGGGGCATTTGCATTCTATCCTGAAATAATAAGAATAAAATCGATTAATAATAAGAATTTTAAGTATCACACTGAATGTTTCCTTTAAAATTCTAATTATTTTCCATTATAATTAATAACAATTATTTTTCTCACAATATACTAAAACAAAAATATTTAACAGGAATGATTTTGTGATTTAATAATTATTAAAATATATGAAGCTGATTGCATTTGTCTGATTGTTTACAATTTTTTTTATTAATCAATGACATTTATGTAAAACCTGTGAAATTTTTGATAAATTGTACTGGAAATTTCTTATACAGTACTTTTAAATAATGTAAACCTTCATGAAATACTTTAGTGATTAATTAATAAAAATTTATACTGTATTTTTAAAATTTTGTTTGACGATACCTAAATTGTTTTTTATATGTGTACAGTGTATAAGTAGAATTTGTAGTAATTAACATTAATCACAGAGAAGTAAGTTTTTGAAACAAACAATAAATTGTTTAGTGGCGTATATTAGTCTTTTAAATATCGACATTGTACATACTTCTAAATATAAAATGTCATTCTGTAAAATGACCTACAATTGATACTTCCAAAGCATTGACGTTTGTACATAAGTCACAAATTGCTTATATTAAATACTGTAACTTTAACTTTTTAAAAAAAGAAAAAAAACACACGAAATACAACGAATGTATTAATTTAAAAATTAAACGTTTTTCGTAAAAGAATTATTGTTCTTTTAATTAATTATGTTGGAGATCAATAATGATGCTGCTTAACATTGAACAACATTTCGACTACGCAAAATTTATAAAGGCCAAGCGTAAGCGATGCACATTCTCGTATTCTCAACCGTATGTTGACTTTGATTTGTCACACTAAACATTCAACACAACAGTCAAAATCTATCTGTTCGATAATTAAAATAAAATTTATCCACGCTTTCGAAATATTTTAAACACAAGTTATCTATTAGAACAATACTGTTAAATTTTTTATATATTTTTTCAATGTAAATGCTTTTAATTTATATCAAATCTTATTTTCATACAGATACACGAACCAATCTAAAATATTTTGTGAGCTTTTTCTGTTTAAATCTGGTCTAATTAAAATATTTCGTTTCTATCTTGCACACTAGAAGAAGAATTGCACATTGACGACGTTAGAGAAATACACTTTGCTTGATATGTTATATTGCGCAGTAAGTAAGAAACTAAATACTGGCATGAGAGCTCGTATGCCCGCTTATCCTTTAATTAAAGTGTTTGTAAAAAGATTGAAGTTTTCATAATATAGAGTTTTTAATATTCCGGGATGTTTTTCAGAGTGTCTTTACATATTAATTTTTGCTTTGGATTTGGCTTACGTAAGAAAATATTTTACTTTGTTTCTGTCAGAATGTTAGTTACTCGATTCTAAGTAATGTATAGATTAGAATTTTGAATTAAACTTACCTGATAATTATTAAAGTAAAAGTTATTACTCAACGGTAAGTAACTTCCAGCAAATAAATATTCACAATCTGGAAATAATCGTTATATGAATATTATTTATTTTTTCAAAATACAATTAAAATATAATGATTTCTTTTAATGTTTGAATAAATTATAACAAATCTTCCAGTCGCGTTAAAAGACGTGTAAAATGAATTTGTATTAAAATGTCTTATATTTTCTGATGTTATCTGACTTATCTCCATTTTACATGTAACACCGGAATATTGGATAAGAAAGAAAATCGTCAATTATTATTTGTACAAAATCTGTTCAACGTTCGAAATGTCACAAACATAATTAAATATCATTAATAACATTTAGAAATATTTCGTTAATCTTCTGTCAATTTCTTGTGTGTTTAGTTTTTGCAGTTAAGACATTCTCTTAACGCAGTTTCTAGGAAATAAATAAACTAAATATACTTAAGTTTGAAAGTATTATCGGGGCGTAACACATTTCCTCGGTCGTAATTCTTATTTGCTTAATGTCTGGTGTGGCTTATAAAATTTGCGCTAGGAGATTTTGTTTTATTTTATTTGTATGCGTTACTTTACTTTGAAAACAGCAGAAGTAAATTACTTAGAATTAATTCTTGACAATTAATTGTTATTAATGGCATTGACTAATTTTTACTTCAAATCTTTTCTATTTAGCCGAGAGAATGTAACATCGGTGATTATTATAATTTACTGTATAAAATTTACGGTTTTTTAAACGTCTTGGGAAATTTTATTATTAGTTTCGTATTTTGTATTCATTACGACATTATATAAAGACTTAATATAATTTCACGTTGAATAAGCATAAATTAACTTACTTAAATAACTCATAATGAATAAAAATATTCGCATAAGCAAAAATCGCATCGAAAATCTTCGACAATAAATTCTCAACAATCGTCAATATTATATTATTAACGCGTATCGTCAACATAACAATAGAAAACGTAAATACGTCATGCTAACAAAATTATGCAATTTTCACAAATAAAATATTAGTTTTTATCTACCTTTAGCTTGTGAGATGCAGATGCAACGTGTAATATGCGAATCTTCATTAAAATGCCCATAAATCTATAAATCATAATTACATATAAAAGACTTCTCTCGGAAATAAAGCGAGACATTGAGTAGCATGTAAAAAGAGTTGCAGTACCATATGAAACTGCTATAATAAATAACGCCATTTTTATGATTGTATTCATCTCTGTGAATAGTGCAGCACAAGTACAAAAACAAGTCATGTAAATACCGTAGCCTTAAGTAATTGGAATGGTGTGTTCATGAATGCCATTAAATTATTTAATTTGATACACAAGTTCGGTGTGTTCATGGACCAAATTATTCAAACTCGATTTTGAAATTTTTCATTTCATTTGAATTTCGAAGAAATCCTCGAATAAACGGCAAAACGTCTTTTGTACAACCCGACCAGTGATAGCAATTTGAGAAAAGACTAGCAATGACTGTCACGTCTGTAATTAATTAATGATACAGATGAGGTAGTCACTACCAATTGCATAAACGGATGAAGTTTTAATAGGCAAGGAAGGCACGCATGACATGGAAAAATTTTTCTTCAGCTCCGAAGTTTTCAACAGAAAAATCAACGTAAATACAGATATCAGTATTTCCAGCTCTTCCGGGCTTCAATATTTTAAATTATCCCTTCGAACTAAGTGAAACTGACCTTCTGGTGTATGACGTATCAGCTAACAGAATAAAGAAGCACACGGAGAATCTATGTAACGAAGAAAATATACCGGCAGAGGAAACAAAGTGTGTCGTCGCCTATGTAGATTATGCTATATATTTGAAAGAGAACAATAGTAGTTCAAGTTCTTCTTACGCAAAGAACGGTTATTTAGAAAGATTAACAATATATCGTGGGGTGAAGGCAAATGCTTTTCTGTTTACATCGGAAAATCTGATTACAAGACTGCAATTGAAAAATTTGAGAAGTTGAAGCGTTTGAAACCCAAGATAACACAGAATAAATGTTTTGTGTATATTTTTCATTTTGTGTGCGTGAAATGCGGCGATACTTCAATTCAGACTTTCAGAGAAGCGTTTACTTCTGTCAATTCTGTTATTATGAAGCGTTTGCCCATCTTTATATTAATTAATCCACTCGAAAACGACGATTTTCTTGACGAGAAGGAAAAGTATTCGGATGACGAGTATAAAACTTTGTTTTTGTTTGGTGGGAATAAATTTGCCATTTTATAACAATTAAAAATAAGAAAGTCTGTTTAGTAAAATATGATAACAGAAGGCGTTACTAAAATTTTAAATTGTATCGGGAAACGTAATGTAATGTGCATAAATGTTTGTTAAACTTTTTTTATTTAACTGTCACGACACTACCTGTAACCCAAATAAAATTCACCGAGTCTATATAGATCTATATGTTTATTCTATATATAAGCATCTTTATTTTTATTTGTTAAATACAGAAGAATGATGAAAAGTGCTACCTATAGAAATCACGACTTATCAAAACCAAACTTTTAACGTAAATTACCGGCTTTAGTAAAATTTCAGGCAAAAATATTTATACATCATAAGAGATTGCTTGATGATAAATTTCATCGTATACCTGAATTTTTTTTATTCTTGACAATTTTTACGTCACAAAAATTTGTTATTGCAAAAATAAAAAATCTAGCAATGAGTTGCGTAATCTTCCCATCTGTTATGAGATTTTGTTTAAAATATAATTTTATATTTTTAATTATAGTGAATAAACTGTTTTGAGATTTTATCACTAGAAATTTTTAATATTATTAATTATTATAAAATGTCAAAACGCTTAATTTTGAGGGAAAAGATGAGTTTTTTATTTTAAAAAAATTGTAAATGCTAACTAATAACGAGTAAAATCGTCANGAAAAGATGAGTTTTTTATTTAAAAAAAATTGTAAATGCTAACTAATAACGAGTAAAATCGTCATTACGTCTGATTCCTCTCGAGCTATGACAAATGACCCACTCTATCTCACCACCCTCTTGATCTTTAGCCAAAAAATTTTAATAGCATCAATTTTTCTTATATATTGATAGAAGCCACAGTGCTAAATGTCGTTTCTATATCATTTACATAGCATTTTATTATTCCGGTTTAATTTTAAATTGTAAAAATTAAAAAATATAATCCAATGTTATTAACTCTATCAAGTATGTGACTTACAACAAATTCAATTTAATAACTTTTACTTTCTAGTTTGGAGACGTATCAGTGTATAAAGGCGTACAGTACCTAATGCGAAAATATGTCTTAAGAAAACTCGTTTCTCTACACTCTTTCATTCCTTTCTTTGCGTATTACAATCAAACTTAATTCACGGTAAATTAACAATTAATGCAAACTGTGCAACGCCGGCTTAACCATCAAAATTTAATAGCTTCGATCTTCCTAACATACAAACTTCACAACATTTTAGAAATTTTTGGTAAAAAAGCACGGGAATTTAAAGAGGGTGATCAAAATCGTGTCCCACGTAGGCCTACACTGACATCCATATATACAGAAAAAGCCTCGTTTTTATTTATTATTATTATTATTTTTTTCATTTTTCGACGTTTTACGGTGCCGAGTCCAAAAACGTAAAAATTCTTGGGGGTCGTTTTTTGACCGATTGCCATACTTTCACTCTTATATATAACAGTCTGGAAAATAAATATAGAAATGAAGTGCATCCTTGAGATTATTCATAGTGACAACGATAAAAGATCTGTGTGAAATACTCAGACAGTAAGGAAAAATGTAAATACAAGTTACGAATACTTTTAATAGAAATATAAAGATGCTCACACTCAAATGGAATATAAGTACTATATTAAAATACCTTAAAAACAATACAGTCAAAATATTTCGCTCTTTCATTAAGATAGGAAATTCTCATTTGATCTGACAGCATTTGTGGAAGAAGTAAAAGGTAAGTGGCATCAATTGGCGCAATCAAGGAAGGAAGAGGAGAGTGCAAACCAAATTTTCAAATTCCAAAAAAAAAAAAAATCGAAATTAGAAACACGATAAAAAAAATAATTCTTCAGTAAGTTTATCGATAAGAAAAGAACTATCATAGGCCATATGATCTATATATATAAAATTGCTTGTCCTGACTGACTCATTCACTCACTGTTTCATCGCGAGAGCAAACCGCTGAACCTAAAGTGGTGAAATTTGGTACACAGTTAGGGTACGTCATGAAAACGCACACTAAGAAGGGATTTTTCGAAATTCCCCCGCGGGGGGATAGGGAGAGGATTAAGGATTAACCGGAAAAACGGCTTCTACTGTACTATTTTAGATGCGATTTTTTGTTTTTATATGCGTTTTAGTAGGGTATGCCATGGTAATGCACACTAAGAAGAGATTTTTCGAAATTTCCCCGCGGGGGGAGAGGGGGAGGATTAAGGATTAACCGGAAAAACGGCTTCTACTGTACTATTTTAGATGCGATTTTTTGTTTTTATCTGCGTTTTAGTAGGGTATGCCATGGCAATGCACACTAAGAAGGGATTTTTCGAAATTCCCCAGCGGGGGGAGAGGGAGAGCATTAAGGCTTAACAGGAAGAATGGCTTCTACTGTACTATTTCACATGCGATTTTTTGTTACGATTAGTCTTCATTAAGTACTTAGGTGTATTAAATTATAACATTTCAGACATTCTTATAAATATTTTTATATATTTCGATTTTTTAACCAAATGTTCGAACCTTTTTAGATTCGAATTTGTTATTGCATATTGATTCGATTATAGAACGATTGTAAACGTTCCAGAAAATTGATCAAATTGAAAATTGTTTGTTTGATTCTCGGCAATTCTCATCATTCTCGGCGGTAGGTGTTATATAACAATTACTATGGTTGTTGAAATACTAAATATAAATGGGGTTTGCTTGCAAAACCTCCGCGGGCGAAGTCGCGGGTAACAGCTAGTAGGCCATATGATGAACAATTGATTGAATATTTGTAAAAAGTAAACATCTTAGAGATTTAGATGTTGCAAAATGAAACAATCACCACGTGATGGTCCAACAAATGGTAATTGTTTAAATGATTTTTTGCTATTGTAATGTTTAAAAGTTAATTTATCATCAAAAACGACTTTACACTTTTACCATTCAGAATCACTTTCATCTATGACACGTGGTCTATTAGTCTGTCAATCATACAAGTGCAGCATCACACTCCAGCAAACTGGAAGTGTCGCCATTGTTTCCCTACTGCTTTCAAGATTTAAACGTAGATTTAACAGACCTCCTTTGTGCTGTGTTGTCTAATCTAATTAATCCAATTCAAAGTGCTTGCCTGGAGCGCACTTTCTACTCTAAGGACCCATTACCGAATTCGTGGCAGTAATTTCAGAAATTTTCGTGAGTTTTTCCGCCACGATATACCCGGATCCATCCTGAATACCGGCGTCTCAGTGTTATAGTGACCTTATAATAAGCACGAAAATAGCTTTTATACGTGTCTGCAGAACAGATAAAGTTTAATAAAGAACACAATATTAACCCCATGATAAATTTCTCAGGTTATTGACTTGGAGTCGAAATCTTTACCTTCTTGGTCTTTGGCCTTCCTCCTCTGAGGGGTGATAGCAATCGATTTATCTGCAGATCAATAAGTTACTGTAGGTCGATTGGGATTCAATTGACTAACTTACATTTATTATATTTATTTTAAAATTTTTCTCCTGTTTTTAATTTATTCTTATTTCGTATCTGTTTCGAAAAGGTCAATGAATTAAATTTAACAATGTCTTTTAATCAAAATTACATGTAAAACAGCGATAAATCCGCATAGAACGTTTCCGAACAGCCAATAAGAAACATTTCCTGTTTAAAAATTATGGCAGTTTGCGCCGTAAACCTTATTGAGCCTGGATTTATGGTAATAATTATTAATAAAGAAACACTAATTTATTGGGCCTATATTCAAGAAAACCTTGGCTGACATAATGTAAATTACATAACGTCATTTATATTAGCTGATTCTTCCTGTAATATAATTACTTTATTCACCAAGAACTTCGAAAAGGGGCAAAATTTTTCACCGGTTTTATTTTCCGGCTGTTATATATACATAAGAAGGGAAAGTATTCAAATCCTGTGAGATTTGACCCTTCGGGATTTTTGCAAATTTCCGTGTTTTAAGACCTCCTGACCTCCTATTTCGTTTAATATCTCAGGATGGAGTAATGATGAAGAATCGAAATTTGGCAAGATAGCTTCTATATAAGTGGAATTGATGCTATTAAATTTTGATGGTTTATGGTCGAAGGGGTGAGAAGAAAAATGAGTGTCATTTGGACGATTTATAAACAATCAATAATTCTGTAACAGAAAATAACATGAAAAACTAGTTCATATCTCCCAAATCTGGACGAATTTTGCATAGTTACTCTCTGCAATCCTTCAAAAAATGTGCATTACTTTAATACTCGGACTCTCATTCTTTCCTCTGATTTTTTTTTCCTTTCTGTATGCATAACACCGGAAAAATAAAACATCGAAATTTTATATGAAATCAAATAAAAAATTTATTATCTTCTATTGTTTAGAGCTTTAGATACTTATAAATTCATCTTATATCATTTTCAACAAGAAAAAACGTAATATTGTTAAGCATCGTTATTATTATTATTATTTAATAATTGTTTATAAAATATGAACGATGTCTTTATTCATAAAGATTTGCTTCTTTTTAATAATTCTAAATAAGACTTTCTCGCTTTCTGTAAGTGAAACATTGTACAGAAATCTACTTGCTATTGGAAATGAGCAGAGTTCAAACATGGATGACTCTGACGAAATCAATAGATATAATAAATATAAAAAAATTATAGAAGATATAGAAATAATTCAAAAACTCATTTCAGAAATTAAAGCAAAGAGAAAGATCGAAGGTCTTAAAAGTGGACAGTCCCAAATAACCACAGAAACAGGGTTATATGTAACCAAGAAACCACCCATGTTTGATACCAGCGCAATGAATGACATCATAATTGTCGGATACTGTTTAGCAATGTCTGCCATCTTCATAATCGGATTCTTCATCCTCATCAAATCGAATAAGCACATGGTAAAAACTGTGGCATCTCCCGAAGACACCATCAGATGGCAGAGACGAATTAGTAAATTGCAAGCAGAAAAGATGAAATCGAAAAGCATCGTCCATACTGAACCTCCATCATCTATACAAATACCATTCGATTCTATAAAGGAACAAGAAGATAATGAAGAGTTACAACTGTTAAAAATTTGCATGAAGGACGAAGACATAACGAGTAAGAAAGATACGAGTATTAATGTAGGAAACGTTGATCTTCAAACCAGTATCTGTGAAGATGTTAATATTAAAGGTGAAACACCTTTAAGTGTTTTAGAAGAATCTGTTTACGAATTTATTGAACAACCTACAAGTAAAGAAATTAAGATAAGTGGAGAAGATGAAGGCAACGAAGAAGAATCGGAATATGAAATTTTAGAATACGAGTTTTTTGAAGGAGAAGAAGGAGAATATGATGAGATTGATTAAATTAATTGTAAACGGAATAAATAATTAATCCATTCCTTATAAATTAGTTATGACATATATATTACTAATATGAGACTCTTTTGTTATAAGATAATTTTTATTTGTATATGTTACTTATATTACGGTTTGCGATTGCATAATTATTTAATAAGTTTCATGCAATTAAATAAGTAAAATATTATATACTGTATATATATATATATATATATATAGAATATGAAATGTATTCTACTGTGATTTTATTATATTTATAAACAATTTATTTCCTGCTCAATACACATCATACTTATACATTATTATTGTTATTTATTAAATTAAAATAATAATATATTATAAGTGGCTTATGACTAATACTGTATAATTAAAATATATTTATTATTCACCAATGATTTCAATATCAAATTCTATTTTATATATTTTATGTTCTAAATTACAAATCTATTATAATTTACAATACTTTTCATTAAAATAAAGTAAATTTATATAATTAACAACTTTCATATCAGATATTGTGTATCACATATTATAAATATTAAACTATATCAATACATAATTAATTTATGTATACTGATTTTATTAATTTAAATGTTAAGCAATTTGGACTGTTTTATGAACTGTTATATCATCCGAATATAAAATAAAAATTTTACATACATAGATGATTGTTAATACTTCACTTACCTCAAATAAATAGTTGCTGTTGGTAGCTTTCCAGTTTTCTCTTTTCACTTTTGTTTCCCAAAGTTTACGACGTGCAGGATATTTTGGTAAAACTTTACAGGATGTCCTAGAATTTTAGAAGAGATTTTTGAAAAAGAATCTTCAAAAATTTGGCTAGAGTTTGTACACAATCAAGCAGCTCTTTTTCAAAATGCTGTAAAATTTATTGAAGGTGACAAAATTTCGGTAATAGAAGTAGCAAACGAAATTAAAAATTTTAAATTTCAGTGTCAAGAGCGGTTAGAAAATAATTTCTTCCATTAATCATCCGTAATAGTATAAGTCAGTTAGAAAAACAAGGTGCAATAAATCGCGCAGATTTCACGAATCATGTCAAAAAGTTCTATAGTAATTGCTTAGATTATTTAGAAGAGTGGACAGTACATTACAATGGTATTGAACATTTTCATTGGGTAATGTTAAAACAATAACTTAATTGGGAATATGTGCAAAAATCATTCGATCACATTAGTCAACATTTTCCAGATAGCAATACAGTAGAGCCTCGATTATCCGACCCCCGATTAACCGACACCTCGGTTAACCGACCGTCTTGGTTGGCAAATTTCAAATGTCCGCTACTGATGTGGCGCTACAATATTTGCCTATGTCTTGGCTACTTTAACATTATTTTTACGTGTTTTAGCTGGCAACACTGGCTCGACCATGAAAGGGAGCCAGTATTTAAACGAGGCTTAATTTTCTAATTTTTAACGATACAATAGCGACGATTATTACTGTATTTTAAAAAATTTTTGTTAGACTTAACATCGATGAAAATTCAACGCGAAGTAGGTTAATAGCGATATACTAATATACTAATTACATGGGATATAATAATATAGTCTACTACACTAATAATGGATTTTTTCGTACTTTTCGGTTATCCGACTTTTCAATTATCTGACCAACCTGAGTCCCCAATTGAGTCGGATAATCGAGGCGCTACTATATTTCCGAAAATGATCTTTTTAAAGAGGTATCATTATTTTAAAAATATATTGATAAGGAGAAGGTTAAGTGTTGAGACTTTAAAAGAAATATTACGTGTAAAATATAATTTAACAAATTCTTGTGAAAAATTTTATGACATTTTAATCTCATATCCTGTCCAGCTGGAATGACGGTAAATATAGAACTGAGGAAAAATTTTGATAAATTCATCATTATTAATCATTTACAGGATTAAATTTAAAGACATTTATAAACTGTTAAAATAATTTTATTTCAAATATACTGTGTTACAAAATTTGGAAATCTTTATCACTGGTAACAATAATACAAAAAATTTTCTTAAAAAAATAATAAAAGAAAAGGAGTCTTTTTAATTTCATTTCTTAATATTGACAAAAAAGGAAAAAAAAAATTGTTAAAAACGTTGCACAGCTAAATTAGTTCGTCAGAAAAAATAATATTTTGTTTTAACAGATGATATAAATTGTTCTGACCGATGCGATCTTTAGGATTCTGAACAAGAAATACAATTTATATACAATTTATATACAATACAATTAATATCTTTAACATTCAAGTAGTTTTTTCTTTTTTTTTTTTTATTTCATTACTAAGTTGCTCTTAAATACTTACAATTTTTAAAATTTTCTTCAGAAGATCTTGGATTTCTATATCGACAGTTCTAAGACGAACAAAATTTTCTTTTGATTCTTTAAAAAAGAATAAAAATAAAAATTTACTAATAAATTTTGATAAATTCAAGAAATGCGGCATTTCCTCGATTAAACTCCGAAATTGAAATAAACCCGTTCTTCGAATAAATTCTGGTGCCTGCCGGTGGCCGAGTGGGTAAAACCACTAAACACTTAAACACTAGTAGTTGGTCGTAGATTTGTGCCTGGCCAACGGGCTGACCAAGTAGCGTTTTCCGGGTTTTTTTCACGTTACTAACACCTAAATAGAGACTAGTTTCCCTTAAAAGACCTTCCGGGAGCCATTCCCTCCTCGGCAGATCGCCCATGTGTCGCGTTGCCGTAACCAAATAAACCAATCGAATAAACCCCAAGGGAATAAAGGTGCAATTAAAAATGAACCCCGGGCTTTTTCGGACTCAGGCAAATTTGAAATATGAGACTACGACTCCAATCTTTTCTTTTTTAAAATGTCATCTTATGATTTTTTTATAAGAAAGACACCACTGGGTATCCAAATATTTTAATTTAAAATTTATCTATGAAAAGTTGTAGCAAAATTTACTGTGAGAATCAAAAATGCATATAACGAATCTACCTCGGAAAAACTTTCGAGTATATAAAGAAAATGATTTTTTTTTTATTTAAAATGGTTAACTTTAATTATTTTAAATAAAAAATTAAATCGAATAAAATGCAAAAATTAACTATTTGATGAATGACTAATAAATTGTCCCGTAAAATAGTTTCTTCCGTTCCTGCTACTACCGAAATAGTTAACTTCCTACCGACAGTTGATATGAATATATTCGTTTAAATTAATAAAAGTTATTTTCTGAAAGTATAGAGCACGTCGCGTGCGATACGCATAAATGTCAGTGTGAAATAGCCTTTATAGATGAATATATTTTTGATGTTTAAATTTATCGAAATGTCCGTTTTCTAAGAAATTATTTTAAAAACTAATTTAAAAATATTTTTTATATTTCACATTTTACCAATAGTAAAATTCAAAGTTGCCGGAGTTGGAAGAATTTTACCGATTTCGACTCCGGCGGTTCCAACTCCGACCTCACAACATGCTGTAGCTGTGTTCCATAAATAGTCTATAAATTGTTTCAATCGTTCGGAAAATGTACGAGAAAATAAGATATTTTTTTCAATTTTTACCCACTATCTCTTGTTGTAAGATAAATCTAAACCTCAAAAAACTCCGAGTCTTCAAATAAATCCGAGGGATACATACGTTTTAAAATTAAACCATCCAGGATTTAATCGAAGACATTGCGGTAGTTATTTCATATAATTTAATACAGGTTTAGATTTTTCCCACTTAACTTAAACTGTTTCTTCTCTGGGCCATAGGAGTGCCATATTTACCATTCTTCCATATTCATCGTGGGTTCGACCAGACTCAAAATGGGGGAAGCCAGGTGGTGAGTGACGGCCCGAAGTATCCAGGATAGGCCTGCATAAAATTCCTGGGGAGTTGCTAGCCCAGATATGATTTCGGCTCTTTCAAAATGGTAAACTGATGCCTTAACCAACTCTATCCGGCCGTTACTAGTTTTAGATCGTGTGATACCATTTTTATGTAAGTTTATATAAACTTACATAAAGTCCATATTGCACATGAACTTAATACCGGTATTATATAAAGTACAGGTTCTTGGTTAGTAGCCTAACTAGCGTCCGAGTACTGGATCAAGACCGAATATCAATAAGCTTGTATTCATGTGGTTTTGAAGCCGCTAAGAGCACGAAGTCTAGATCGCCTACGTCTAAAGCCGTTACTAATTTTACAAACCTCCTTACCTTTTAAGATATCTGATTTATCAACATTTTCGGAATTTCCACTAACCAGTAGTTTGTAAGCGATAACGCCAAACGACCAGATATCAATCTCGAAAGCTATAAAAATATAATAAATTAGCTAAGATTTGAAAGCATTATACACAGTGAATATAATTATAGTAACTATATTTATGCAAACTTTATTAGAAATTAAATTCCAATTATCTTATTTAAATTTTTTCGTCGATTTTATACAGTAATTATGAAAGCATTAATTATAATTCTTACAATATTCCGTTACTCCATCCATTTCCGGAGCTCTATATTCATCATTTCCACAGACGTCTTTAGCTAAATTTTCCAACTAAAATATTGTTAATTATAAAATTAATACTTTAAATGTTAAAGATATTCATCAACTTGAAAACGATCTTTACCGAACATAAACCAAAATCAGATAATTTTACTTGACATTCGTCGAAGAGAAGAATACTGGATAGTTGAACGTTGCGATGAATAATTTCTATAAAAATACAAAATATTCATTTAAATCATATTTAATTTCAAAAATAGCTAAATATAAAGGTTAATGAAGTATTGAAATATTTTTAATCTATCGAAGTTTTGGAAAATGAAGATTTGACATTTTCATTGTGAATTTAAACAATTTACAATGAAATAATTAAGGATCTTGGGCAAGAATATGTTAACTCAGTTTCTTTTGAAACATTCTATTGTTAAAAATTCTACGAACATAAGAATATATAACAAATTCAGAACTTTAGGATGATTTACCCAGAAACTTGAAAAAATGAGTTAACGCATCCTTGGCCCAAGATCTTCATTTATTATATCTCAAAAGTCAGAAATTTCATTTAGATGTTTTTGATGGGATTCAAGACTGCAATTAAAACATAAACCCTGATCGAGTAATCACAGATGGCCAAATAACCGAGGCTGTTATTAAGGCATCAACTTATCTCTCTAGGGGACCGGGGGTTCGAATCCCAAGAACTTTTCGAGATGATTTTAGGGAATACGTTGGACGCAGCAGCATCCCCTTTCTAATGATTTTCCCGAGAAAGCTAGGTTTCTCAGGTAGTAAAAAATTTTGTAAGACATATTGTTTGTTTGCTGTACCTCCTGTAAAGATTTTTGGACTCGCAACTATCGGGAGTTTGTCCCAGATATGTTGAGCTCATAATGAGAGCGGCGAGAAGGTAGCGATTACCTTCCCGCTCTCATTATGGGTCTCGCTTGATTTGTGATTGTTTATTATCTTGAATTGTTTCTTCATTATTCTATAACCGATGTAGTATGACATGGAACACGAATACAATAAGTGCAAAAAGTGCAATAAAAAATATATTTTTTTACAAAGAAAAAATTCCAAATTTACTTTTTTTATGTAGAAAATCGATTGCTTTAAAGATTTGCATCAGGATTGTTTTGGCTTCATATAAAATTAAACGTCCAAATTTATTCAAGTGGAAACCGAGATCCGAACCAATTGCATATTCCAAGAGAAAGCAAAAACTAAAACACAAAATACATTTTTATTTACATTTTTAAATACTTAATACATTTATTTACAGTAAGTTTAGATGATAATTTTCTTATCTAACTTACCTGTAACTAGTCTCGAAAGCTTGATACATCTGAATTAAATTGTGTTTTCGTTTGGAAATTTCATAACAATGCTTCTCTGTCATCATTTTTTCTACCTAATTGAAAAGAATTGTTTAATTCAAATTACCTAACAATTTCCTATTTAGAAACTAATTATTTTAACATAAAATAGATTTGGCCGGATGGCCAAGCTGTTAAGGTGACAGTCTGTCGCTCTGGGAACCCGGAATGAGTTTGGACGGGTTAAAAATATCTCACTAATTTTTCAGAGATGTTATTCGTTTGGATATGTCAAGCCCTGGCCCTAACTATTGTGGACTTGGTCTAAACTTAAATGTACTTTTAAAGAAGAAATGTTCTTTAAACTTAAATGTTCTTTTAAAGAAGAAATTTCTACATATATCGTCACCAGGGGGCAACTTCTCTAAAAATCTACATTTTCCAGCGCTACTCTTTAGTAGATAAAAAGAAGAAGAAAACCCCAAAAGAAGGTATGATGGAAGCAAGACAACTGCATGTCACCAGTTCCATTTTCAGAAATTTTATAAAATTTTAATTGGATGTTTTGTGTTTTTAAAAGGACTTTTTGTGAACTTTACGGCGACAAGTAGCCTAAAAAGGAAGGTCAGTCGCCGAAAATGTTTTAGTCTTGGAACACAAGTAATAAATGGTGATCCTTTTTGGACAGTTTTGTCTTTTATTTTATTTAAATGTACTTGCTAAAAAGACCTTACTGCCCACAGAGCGAAAGAGTTTAAAAAAAAAACATGCGCGATCTTACAATTTAAACTTATAAAATTACCTTTTCTTTTGTATTATAGTGCACCTTGGGTAAAACACGAAGTACATAATGAAAAGCTGTAGGTTGATGAAGAACCAACAAAATATATCTTCCTTCATTACCTCCTAATTGTCTCAAAACCATCAATTCAGTTATTTTCCATCTTTTGGGAGATTCGTCATGCAATTTAATCTACTTATCAATGAAAAATTCATGTATCTATACAACGAACTAATTTTATTATTCTTAAATGGCATTCTTTCAATACAAAGCATTTACCAATTCTTTTTCTATTTTTATTCCATGCACGACAGTGTCTACCAAATCACGGAAACGATGTGATGTAGTTGGTTTTAAAGAAATGGTCTTCAAAGACTATTATTAAAAAAATTACAATTTCCATAAAATAAGCAGTAATAAAATGAAAATATAATCATTAACTCATGGATCCGTGCAAGCAAATGAAAAATCAACAATAATAAAAAATTTTCTATAATCTTTCAACATTTTCTTTTTAATAGAGGTTAATTTAATTTTCAATATTTAAAGGAGTAAATAAAAAGTTATCGACATAGGATTACTTCTACTACTAATAATTATATATGTACTATATCAATGATTTTATTAAAGATTAGATATCGTTCAGTTTTTAAAACACAAGTTGTAGAATAAAAATATAAAACTTATAAACTATAATTAACTTATAAAATAAATAAAAATGTACTCTTTCGCTTCGTAAACTCTCTTTGATGTCTTTTTTTAGCAAAATTAATTTCTTCTCAATATCTCTTTGCAATTTTTCTAATGTAATCATAATCGATTCTTTTCTCTCTTCATCTTCATCTTCCTATTCCAGTATAATAGATACGAATGAAACTTAAATTAGCGACTTTAAAAATAAGTACCAATTTACATTTTCTGATATATCCCTCAAGCTAAATTCATCTCGCAAAGATTTCAGTTCTGTATTGAAGATTTGTCTTGTTTCATAAATTTTCTCCTTAATCAGTTCAACATATTCTTCCTTGAAATTATAAAATTTTATTCAGGTAAAATTTTAATTTATAACACTTACTAAATTCAATTTGTCATTGTCATATTCTTCACTATACATTAAAGATGGACACGATCTGTTACTGGACTGTACGAATATAAACATAAATTTAAAATTAATTAATTAACAATTAAACTATTTCATTATATAATTAATGAAAATAATAATATTACTTTATATCTCAAATCAAGTAATATTCTTACTTTTAAATATAATTTATAAATTTACATAAAATAAATTTAATACTATATTACTTTTATAAATTTTATGATAAATTTATTCATAAAAAAACTAACCCCTGGACTGATACCAAGAATAGAATCTTTGTCTATCAAATAAGGTGGTTTAGCATAGAAATGCATATAGTCTATGATATTTATTGGAGATTCAATATTCAGTTTTTCCCATTCATCAAAATTGTATTCAGCATTTTCTTGCTAGAAAATAAAATAAAATAAAATTTTCGCATTATTGATATATATATATATATATACACTATTAGATTTTTAAAAACTTACAGTTTCTATGTAAAAACTTTTAGGAACGTTGACAGTTATCTGAAACATATATCATGCATTAGTTTAACACCAGTACAATGCATTAAGAGTGAGGACACTCTTAATGCATTGTACTAGCAAGCGGTCTTTGTTTCGATGGCCGAATGACTGAAATACTGCCTGCAGCTTTGAGAGATTTTTGAGTTGTATGTGGAGAATCACTTTATATTCAAACTTGAAAAGCCCACTGTAACCAGGTCAATTAGAAGTTGCGGAGTGAAAACCGAGAAACTACGGAGCAATCACAGCTTCTTCATTCAAGTACAGTTGTCACTACGCTAAACAAAATCTGACGAAGCAGCCGCCACATTCTTAAAATTCTGAAGACTGAATCGTGCTGCGAATTGAATTCTCACGAATGTGACATTCGTGAGAATTCAATTCGCAGCACGATTTCATTCTAGTTTCTAGGGCGATAAGTGATCGCTAAGATGTCTAGTGGGTTCGCGCCTCGCCAATGGGCTCACCAGGTAGAGGTTTCGGGTTTTCTTGACGTTTGTAACACCAAAATAAGTGCCAGTTTTCCATACATTGTCCTCCCGGGAGGTATCTAACCTCGGCAGATCGCTCACGTGTCGCATTGCTATATACAAAGAAAAAGCTGTCACCTCTATCCGACCGAATCATTCTGGGGCCCTGACAACTGGTCCCGATCAGATCCCCAGAAAATTTTGTTGACCCACCAGTGAAGCCAAGTGGCAAAAACTTGATAGTTGGTCCCGGATTCGAACAATTTCGAACAGATTCGCAATACAGTATTCCCTGATCTCCGAGATAGCCGCTTGGAGTTTTCCGAGTTTCTTTTACATGTCTAACATTTAAACAGGACCCAGTTTCCCATAGAAAGGCATTTTGCCCATGGCAGATCGCTCTCGCATTGCGTTGCCTTATCCTATACGACAACGAATTTTCGTGATTAGTTTGATCATGAAACAGGAGAGCCTGATAGCAAGACCTCGTGTTTCGCGATCCGGCTATCTCATTTAGGGCTCGGCCTATCTCGTGATGAGCATAAATAAAGACCATTTTAGTTAATATAATAAGAGTATATACTGTTTTGCTCTTATACAATATATATAATGCAATATAGTTTAAATTTTGAACATATATTATGAAATACTGTGTATAATAATAATTATTGTTTATTATACTTAAAATTCAAAATTAAATGGCAAATTCTCATTATGAAATGCAAATTTTCTCTTTTTAACTTTGTATTTCAGAATTTTAAAATGCCAAGATTATCACTAAGTTAATATTTAATTAACAATACCGGAAAGGTCACGTGTTGTTCTTCACGAATTACTTCTTCAGAACTATTTAATAAGAGACTACTCTGTTCCTCGGCAAATGTACCTTCAGGCTCTTCTCTATCACGTAAATTTAAAGATCCAGTCAATGAAGATAAAACTTCTTTATCCAATTCTCTCTAGAATAATAGATTTATAATAAAAAATAATTATTTCAATATTCATTAATTTTATGTCTGTAATTTAAAGTATATTTAAATATTTTCAAACTTATTTTCATTACTTTGTTTAATATTAACAAAATAAAAATAATAAAATTCCGAAGATTACATATAAAGTGACTTTACTTTGGATTCTGTTTGCATTTCATCTATATCTTTATTTTGTTCTCCAGCATTCGAAGCCTATAAAATATAAATAAACAAATAAACATTTTACTGGAGTAGAAGCACGGAATAAAGACCGAACCTGAAATATAATAGACTTTTTAGTATAATAGCGTTTCTGGTTTACATCAGTTCTAACTTCAGCTTGGAGTAAAACGTTTAGGTTTTGATTCTTGTCATTGCAAGAATAGTTCACTCTCTGAAATTAATAATTATTTTAATTCATGTTTATAATTTAGGTTTATCTGAAATTTAAACAAACCGAAATAGATTCTTTAGTCTTTTCTCTTAAGTTGTTTTTATGAATAAAATGCGTATAACTGTCTTCTTTCTAAAATGTAAATAGTAAAGTGATTATAATACATTAGCATGTACTGAAATAAAACTTTTCCTTTCATTTACTTGACTATTATTTTTCTTTGTTTTGATTCTTCCCTAAAGAAAATAAATGTCTATTATTGTCTATTATTGTTTAAACGGAAATTTGGTATTCTTGTAATACTGTATATATTAATATATATTACTTCGTTTATATTCAAAGAGATTGATATATTCTCTTTACAAGACAGTTTTTTAGCCATTTTTCCTTCTAATTTCAGTAAATTCTGATAATTAAAATTGAAAAATCAGGTCAATATTGTTTCAGTTATTATTGTTTCTGATTGTTTCGATATATAAACAATTTTATCAACTATAATATTGATTAAAATTCTTTGAGAATAAAAAATATTTTACAATAATATTGATTAATATAACTAAATATTATTATTATTATTATTCAGAATTCAAAAAGAATAAAAAGTAGAATATAGAATAATATACATCTATAATTTTTTCTCTTTCTGCCCTGTGGACACTAAGAAAACTTTTAAATCATGTTAATTATAGGTTCGGCCAGGCTCACAACGCGAATGGAAAAGAACGGGACCCGACATATTCGAGGGAGGAAGATCATCTCTAAAATTCCTGGAATTGCTCGCCAGGATTCCATTCCGGATCCTCCGGAACGGCCGGCCAACTCCTTAAAAGCCTTAAACATTCGTTTGTCTAAACTTTTCATCTGATGCTCCAATGTAATGATTGGAGCATCAAATGAATCCGCTTCCCAAACCGACTGGAAATCTCAGTAATTTTTCGTGAACGATCTGTCCCGGATAAGTCATGCTCTCTCTCCTCACTACCCTGTCATCCCCAAGTGGACCTAGTCAAACTTACAATGGATATGATAAGAAAGGTTCTCTTGGTACCTAAAGGACCGAAAAAATTCTTTTTTTTTTAACTGAAAAATTTGCTGCTAATATGGGTTATAAACGAAGTAACGATTCATTGTTTAAAAAAAAAAATGAATAGATTCAACTGACTAATCACATTTCGCTTTTTTCATCGTAATAATCTTAAAACTAGTATACTGTATTTACAATAAACATATGATTAGAAAGTTAAACATATATAATCAAATCCTAAATACTTTAAAGTTAGATTTCAGGTTGTCAAGATTCTGTTAGTTCTATTGTTTGAATGATTACAATATCTTATATCTTATTTATCTGTCGGATTAATCGACATAAAGTTCAATTTTATTCCAAAGTAATTAAAAAAATTTAAATTTCAAGAAATAATAATGGTTCATATTACGATTTCTGTTTGACGTCAAATAAAACAAAATCTATTAGAAGAGCGAGCAGACAGAAATGCTAAAGGATTAGTCTGCCGCTTTAGAGGACCCGCATTCGAGTTTGGATAGAATCTATATAAGCTCGAATGCGGGTCCTCTAAAGCGGCAGACTGGTTAATCTATCCGATAGATTAACCGGGGACTGTATTTTGGTTTTAGAAACCAAAGTAATTAACGCCAAATGGTAGAGCAGTTAAGATGATGTACTGCTCTGGTCCTGATTTTGGAAAGAGCATTTTATGCTGCATTTAACCTTCTATGAGTTGAGTATGATCATAAAAAATATATTTTTAAAGCTTATTATTTACTTACGTTATTCTTTTAAAGATTAAAACTTTATAAATCATTAAAAACTATATAAAACAAGGTTTAAATTTTTTTTACACAAAATAAAATTATATTAGAAATAGTATCATAAAATAATTATTACAGACATTTTGATCACAAAGATATTACTGAGATTATTTTTCTCATTACATTAACAAAAATATTGTTGTCACAAAGATCACCGTTTTACCAAAAAATTACCACAGATAATGTTTTTATCAAAACTGTGTAATAAAAACGTTTTTTACAAAATTATAAAAATTTAAAATAAAAGCTTAGCATGATTTTTACCACTGTTTTTTTTTTTTTTTTTTTTTTTTTTTTTAGGGTTAAAAAAATCCCCCCCCTGTTAAGAGCTTTTGGTTCTTGTAAATCCTGAATTATATTTCTATTTTCATAGTAGGATATATCTTCCTTAGTAGGCCACTTCCAATAAGATTTGCTGATTATCATTGTGGTAAGTATGGCACTTTTAGAATCTACTCTCAATATTTTTCCTGGAAATTTTGAACTCTATTGAATCAGCCATGTTAATAATTCAATTAGGTTCAATGCCATCCAATGTATGTGCCAAATTCTTGCAAAATTCGTCTATAGTTTCAGTAGAAATTGTATCTCTTCTTACTGTGATATTAGCGGAAGTTTGTATAGGTTGCTCCTATTTGCATTGTAAAAATCCTTTTATAAAATTATATCCAAGTAAATTATCTCTAAGCCGACGAATTTTTGCTCCTTTATGGTCTAAATAAATCCTTTATGGCATGTCATAATTCAGTTGTTGTACTGGGAAATCCAATTCTGATGCCAGAATAAGATGGTAATTAATGAATTTTTCCTCTTCTGTAGTCAAAACTGTCTGACCTCCTTTCGAAAGATGATTTCCATTAATTTTATTTTGTAAAATTGTCCTTGCAATGTTGAAGTAAGAACTAGTTTCTCATTGTGACATTCTACCAGATTTGACATCAACTGCAGCTTGTATTGTTTGTTCACTTTGAACAACATATCGTGTTACCCCACTTTTAGGCATATAATGCCTTGGCATCATTTCTAAAGATATAACAACATTGTTTTAACATAATAAATATAATAATTCATTCATATAATACACAAAATAGTAAAAAACTAACCTTTTCAGTTGTCTGTTGATTACTTCTTACTGCAGGATGCCATGGTAGAAAACAGCGCCATTTACAACTTTTATTCTTTTTTGCAAGTGACTGTGACCATTATTAGCCACATTCACCTTACAGAAAAGCTTTCGTAATATAATAGCAGTTGATGAAAAACTAATTATGCTCCATCTTTGTAAATTTTTAAAATTGAAACTAGAGGCATTGATAATTATTTTAGCAAAATATAGAACTAAATGCATTCACCATTTTTTTCTAGGTTAATTTTTATCATCATTGTGGTAAAATATAAAAAGTAACTAAAAGTAAATGAATTCAAAGATTTATATATATATATATATATTTTTTTTTTTCTATAAAACAAATTGATATCCAATTCAAAAATTTCAACTACATTACAATTACAGTATTTTATATTTCGAAAGTTGTAAGAATTTATTATTGTTGTTTAATATTTTGGCTACAATCATCTACATGAGCCAAAGTCACTCTGTTTTAAGGAATTTAAGATACTCGAATGCATCTTAATTAATTAAAATTAAAACTGAATTTTTCTTACTGTCACGGCTTCTTAAATATTAATATCTTCAAAGTGACGGCCGAATAGCCGAGCGGTCAAGGTGGCAGCCTACCGCTCTGAGAACCCGGGATCGAATCCGAACGGGTCGATAAATTCCCAAGAATTTTTCGGGGAGTGGTCCGTTCGGATATGTCGGGCCCCGACCCTCACCACCTGGCAGCCCCATTGTAGGCCTGGCCGAACCCATAATGGGCATGCAAAAAAGAGGCCCTCTTAATGCCAATAGGGCGGAAAAAGTTAAAAAAATATATATTCAAAGTAATTGAACAAGAAAAAACAAATTGCATCATAAATATTTATAAACAAACAATTTTACTTGAATATGAACATAGATTTTGAATATATATACAAATTCTACCTTCGATAACGAATATTCAGAAATTAAAAAAAATAAAATTTATTTATGAAGTCCAAATACATTTTATTTATTATTATTATTATTTATTATTATCTCTCTGAAATTTATTCCGTATTAATAAAAAAATTAATCTAAAATACTTTGATATCATTAGATGGCAACTTTAACAATAATGAATGTCTCCATTTCCTGTTATTAGCGGAAGTATCAAATAGAAAGAAAAAGATACACGTGGTTATAATGTTGTCAGGGGAAAATTTTATGAAATCGTTGGTACAGCAAAATGATGTGTATACAAGTAAGATATTGAAAGAAATTAAATTATTTAACAATGTTCAACATATTAAAATTGTGAATTTTAAAATTTTAATGATGTTAACAAAACTCTATAAATTTACTGTTTAATAATGCTTGAATGTGTATAGATGTAAATTCTATTTTTAAGAAATTATTTATCTTTACAATTATATTTAATTACATATTAACTATAATTTCTTCATATAGACTTAAACAGATAAAAGTGTTATTAATTTATTATTTAATAAGAGTTCTCTTTTATTTAAAGAATTTTATCTTATAATGTTTAATATGTGTATCAAGTAATGCTTTGATAATATTTTTCTCTTTGTTTTAGAGAAATGAATGCTTATTATTGCATCAAATTACTATTTTTTTAAATAAAATTATATTTAAAGATATAGCATATAGATATAGATTTTTCTCTGCATATACTAACAATCGCTTCAACAATATTAATTCTAAAGCTGACAACATAAAACTTCTAAATCACGATCCAAACGTTTTACAAACTGACCTTAGAATTCTTTCTTTGGCTTTTAGTAAATTTAAAAATTAATATCCGTAAAACCATAGTGATGTGTTTCTCTTTGATTAGAGATCCACCGCCTCCACATTTCTACATCTACAGTATAATCATATTCTAAATTATGTAACTTTGTTTAGTAATCTGGGAGTCATTTTTGACAGTAAATTAACTTTTAAAGATCATATAGAAAAAACAGCAAAATCTTTTGCAATCTACTGAGGAATCTTATAGCGCTTTTTTAAACCCATGCCATCAAAAACTGTCTTAAGGACAATATTTTTTACAAACTTCCAGTCCTTAATAGATTATTGCTTACCAATCTGGGCTATGGCATCTCCTTTACTAAATAAGGTTATTAAAGAAATACACAAAGTTTATCTCCTTTTAAACAAATTTTGCCATCTCCCTTACACTAATAATGCTAATGTCTCTAGAGTCAGACTGGGACTACCCAATTTTAAAGAAAGAGTAAAGTATTTCAACTGAATTTTAACTTATAAATATTTTAATGGCATCATAAACATTTACTGGCTCATGTTGAAAGTTCCTTCTTGAGTAACTATATTTCAATCATGTTTACATGCCCCTTTTTATCGTTTAGCATTATGTCACATCCTTTTTTTTTATCGAACTATCAATCATATGTCGTCCATCAAACATCACCTTCGTGACTTCATAAAATATAAACATCTCTGTCAATGTTTTTTACATAATGTATGATTTGTAACTTCTCTTTTCACATGTATATTTCTTTTTAAAATATTTTAATATGTTTTTCTTTTTTGTTATTCTTGATTGTATTCATTGTATTTTGGGGTATATTATGTTAATTGAAGGATGGAAATCTTTTGTCAATGACGACAGTTCCAATAATATGTAAAATAAATAAAATAAAATAAATAGTATGTAGTTAAGTGATGATGCCCAGAAAACTTTATATGACATAATTACTACATAAAAAATTTCACTAATATGAAGGAATATGGTATAATCTTATTTGTTATTTAAGTAATTTGCAAAGAATTATGATGATTATTATTTTGTAATGTAATTTATATTCCAATTAAGATCAGATTATATTCTGTGCAATAATCATTTTTAGAATCAGATATTGATGGGTGACACAGAGAGACAACTGTTTCAGGTGCCAAATTGGAAGAGACGCTAAAAAGGCATCATAATGTTTATAGAAATATAAGTACATTGGTACTGTTCTTAGCTTACCTCGGGTACCAAAATTATTTGAAATAGTCCATTTACAATATTGCTCTTATTAAAAATAACTTTTACTTTCAAATCTTTTTAAGTTATCTAATTTTTAGATTATAACATTATAATTATGTATATTTCAATTGCTTCTCATAATTTTTGTTGACCAAAAAACATTTTAAATTCTTTCAAACCTATACATGTTGCATATTATTTTATTAGCCCAGTGTGAGGATAATCAAAAATCAGAAAATATGAGAAAAGTCACTTTTTATAGAATATGAAATGTACCAAAGGTACAAATTTTCCCATAGACTTTTGATAGTTTTTGTGGGAAATTTCAAAATCAGATGAGAATTGCTATGGCAACTCAGAAGCCATAAAATTTTTCAGATTAAGATTGCAGAAGTATTGATAATTTCTTCATTTGATGATCATGAAATTTTACTTATCAACTTTCAACAAATTTTAATCTAATGACAAACATTTGTGTACTATAACAGTTACTGATCTGAGTAATCCATTGTTTTTGAATCCTTTTGCTCAATAGAATTGTATAGCAAACACTGGTTTTCCCAATTAAGAATAAATTGATTTTCAATTTTGCTTAATATGTTCATATTAACTTATTATACAATTTAAGTCAATTATTTGTCATGCTAATTAGAAATTGCTTTTATTAGCTAAAGCATCTTTGAATTAAAATGCAAAGAGATCATTCAAACACGGTCAAATATATTTGAATTTTAAATTACATTACATGAGTATATGTGTATACAGAATACCCAAATACATAACCACAGTTAATTTGATAAAGTTGCCAAAATATGTAAAATACTATGTGCCATCCAAATTCAAATATTGGTTGGTGGTATAGTAGATTTTTGAAAATGCAACTTTTATTAATTTTTAAAAGAAATTTATTAAAAAACACTAAAATATATAATTCTATATTACAGACAACTATTATGATGATGATGATGATGCATCATTACAAGATTTTTTTATGTTAATTAGTATAGTTTTGCTATACTTCAGTGAAAAAATGACTTTGTTTTAGTTCAAATACATCATTTAGTGTTAAGTTAATTAATTTAAAGGTTATATAAGGAAGATTATATAGACAATTCTGTTTTATCATTTATAATTTAAGTTTCTGAATTTTTGTTATGTGCTACAATTATAGATTATATTATTCTAAAACTATTTCAGATTTGAAGCAGTTTATTGTAGAAGCTCAGGAATATTCTAAAGATAATTCAAATAATGATATTGTAGAAGAATATCTTCAATATTCAGGAAATTGCTCAGAATTACTTGACTTATTGCAAGGAAAGAAAAAATCATCTGAGGTAAATTTTAAAATCACCATATTATTATTTGAATGACAATACATAGAAACTTTTAAAATAAAAAATGTATAACGTTTACAAAGAAAACAATAGGGATAATAGTTTGAACTAAATTTATTTTACTTAACTGATGGATAACAAATTAAAATCTAGTGAAGTAAAATAAAAGTAATATCAAATTTCAGTTAAGTAAATATTACTAAACTACTAAATTTATCAGAATTTATTGTTACACTAAATTTTATCCATTGTTTATATTCTTATTTATCTAAGAATAATTAAAATATAATTCTGCACTAGTGACTTGATAGAATGTGGACAGCCTGTAGACTTCAATAAACATTTCAGCCTTTTCAATAATGCTGCTTTTATTTCATCTTTTATTGTAGGCTACTGAGTTAAATTGGCAGTTAATAGCATAGTTCAAAATCATTTGGCTCAATTTACAATATTTTAATGGCTGTGCCTATACTTTGTACTTGGCATTGCATAAACACTGCTTAATCTATAGATTTCTTAGTATGAGAAATATCAGAACAAAATGGATGTTAGAGGTGTCTGAACAGGACAAACAGTAAGTTGATAAACATATTACATGGATTGTTCATACATGTAACAGACAGGTTCCTTCTTACAATGCATTCAAATTTTTTTGAACTTGAAGTCACCAGTGTATGTGCAACAAGTATATAAATCCATTAATAATTTATTTTGTCAGACAGAGGGCATGTCCCATGAGCATGAGCTTGATTATGCCTCTTGATTCTCCATTATAGATTATTATTTTGTGTAGAATTATCATATAATAACTGATAATTATAATTATCAATAATATTACTCTTCTTATTTTTCACAAGAATATAGTAAATCTTCTAATTCTCTAGTTTTTTTAACTTGAATTTTCTAAAAATAAGAAGGGAGGAGATTAAATATTTACAGATAGTTATTATTCTAAGTTGTAAAACTTTATCCTTCTTTTTTATTTTGATTATATGTTTTTATAATTAATTAAGCTTAAAATGATTTATCTATCAAAAAACATTAATAATATTCTTTAATAAGTTTAATATAATTTAATGTAAGAAGATTGATTAATAATCATTTATACTTCTGTTTATTTCTAGATGACATTAATATTCAATGTTATAGAACATATTTTATTGAGAATTTCTGAAGATTTGACTTCCTATGAGAAAGTTGGATATGAAATAGTGCAAAAGATTTTAAGAGTTAGAATAAATAATATTTATCATTTATTAAATCCAAATAATAAGTTTCATCAAATTAAATCTTCTTTGAAATTGTTGATAGCAATAGTCACTCAGGGAACTCAGTGTGCTAGAGATATTATGACTATATTTAATTTTCAAAATGAAAATTTTTTAGAAACAATAAATAGAAGGAATATTAAAGTAAATTTCAGTTAAGTAAATATTACTAAACTACTAAATTTATCAGAATTTATTGTTACACTAAATTTTATCCATTGTTTATATTCTTATTTATCTAAGAATAATTAAAATATAATTCTGCACTAGTGACTTGATAGAATGTGGACAGCCTGTAGACTTCAATAAACATTTCAGCCTTTTCAATAATGCTGCTTTTATTTCATCTTTTATTATAGGCTACTGAGTTAAATTGGCAGTTAATAGCATAGTTCAAAATCATTTGGCTCAATTTACAATATTTTAATGGCTGTGCCTATACTTTGTACTTGGCATTGCATAAACACTGCTTAATCTATAGATTTCTTAGTATGAGAAATATCAGAACAAAATGGATGTTAGAGGTGTCTGAACAGGACAAACAGTAAGTTGATAAACATATTACATGGATTGTTCATACATGTAACAGACAGGTTCCTTCTTACAATGCATTCAAATTTTTTTGAACTTGAAGTCACCAGTGTATGTGCAACAAGTATATAAATCCATTAATAATTTATTTTGTCAGACAGAGGGCATGTCCCATGAGCATGAGCTTGATTATGCCTCTTGATTCTCCATTATAGATTATTATTTTGTGTAGAATTATCATATAATAACTGATAATTATAATTATCAATAATATTACTCTTCTTATTTTTCACAAGAATATAGTAAATCTTCTAATTCTCTAGTTTTTTTAACTTGAATTTTCTAAAAATAAGAAGGGAGGAGATTAAATATTTACAGATAGTTATTATTCTAAGTTGTAAAACTTTATCCTTCTTTTTTATTTTGATTATATGTTTTTATAATTAATTAAGCTTAANTATTTTTTTTTTATCTCCAACTAGCAGATGTACCAGCACTTCCTGGGCTAAAATAATCAAACTTCTAACGATTTTAATTTTCAATACTTATCCTTATTACTTTCTGCCCAGGAAAAACCGGATATTTCTGCTAGTAGTTCTTAAAAAAATAGACATGTTTTAAAAATTCAGAGAATTACATTTGTTCTTCTTGAGAAAGTATCAAGGGAAAAAATTAAGAAAAACATAGTACATATTAAGAAAAATATGAAATAATCAATTCATCACTAGAAATGTCAAACAGTTTCAAAAATTACATGTTTTTATTAGTTGGTGGCTATATACATTGAATAAATTTTTGTTGCATTGTCAACAAATAGTTTTTTTAATTTTTTGGTTCTCTTAATGGAGTCAGTTTTTATTTAATTTATGTATGTTTTTTTTTTTGTAGACTTTGTTTCATTATATTTTACAGAAATATTCACAAAAATTAAAGAATTTCTCTCAAACAATAAAAATAATTAAAAAATAAAACTAATTTTTAGAAGAACAAACTGTAACAAAGTAATTTTTCAAGAGGCAATAATTATATTTCAAAGATATATTAAAATTTGATGGGAAAAAATAATTTTTGAAATACTTTCAAAATATTTACACATTACTTGGTTTTATGAAGGAAAGGGTGTGAATTTAGTAAATTGCTTTTGTTTAGTGAAATTTAGTAAATAAAGTAAATTACTTTTGTTAGGTGAAAGAACACTGATTAAATGCAGTGATGGGTAAGTCTGAGTTCACAAAATTTCTGAACTGAAATGAAACTTGACTTGTACCTTGGAATTGAGATTCATATGATGTTGCAGAATGTTGTTAGTAGAAAAACTTTTAAAATAACTAATTTTTGCTACAGCAATATCTATAACTAGAAACCTGTAGATGTCACTGTGGTTATAATTCCAAATCAAAATCTATTGTAATTTTTTTATATAATATCCATTTATAATCATGTAATATTTGAAGTAACAAATAATTGAAATTGTAATAGAATGAAAATAATGAATAGAAGATGAATACAATTGAAATAATTATAATAGAAATTAATTTGTTTTCTAAAAAAGTCTGTTTCAATTCAACTTATAACAAATACTAACAATAGTGATATCACTATTCCCCAGTCAATACTACAAGAATTTAGTTACAATTCTTGCAGTGAGCATAGATAAGAAGTGTATCAGTATTTATCATAGTAAGAAATAATTCTGCATTACTAAATGTAAACAGTGCAGAACTCAACTCACTTAAGACTAAAGTATGCTCCAAGCCTCCAGTGTAGATATGAGTAACAAAAAGTGAACCTGCTCATCTTTAATTAAATGGAAAAACACAGCGAGTTGCACACCATTATTTAGGTCATGTGTTAATAATAATTAAATTGTTTTATCAGTTTATTATTTTCAAAGTGGAAACTACTGAATATGATGTTAACTGTATTGTGATGTTTTTTGGTCTATATGAAGTGATGTTATAAATTTTTCTAAAATAAACTTTTATGGTCATTTTGAAAAAATTTGTGGCCTTCATGAATTTTTCTATAGAATATGATGGAACTGGTTTGTAGGAAATTATATAAATAAAAAAATTAAGATAAATTTTTTAAAGAAAAGTCAAGAGGGGAAAGAACAGAATTTAACATTGCTGCAAATTCTAACACAGAGATGTCTGCAAAGCCTCACACAGGTACAACATTGCCACAAACAAAGAAAATTTTTCTTTTATAGATAGATAGAATCAAATAATCTGAAATAATTTCTAAAATATTTTCAATAAAATTATAATTATATTGTCTTTTTTCAACTCATTTAATATTAAGTTATATAATATTCATGAAACTTTAGATTTAACAAAACATAAATCATAACTGACTGAATTTTTCAATTAAGACTTTAAATTTGAAGACAGATATTTTAACAAGTGAGATTGGAAAGTTTTACACAAATCTATAATTCTCTAATTTAAAAATAAATAATAGAGAAAATTAAAACAAGATATATTTTTGGATATGTCGGGCCCCGACCCTC